ATCAACTCTATCGTCAAGCTAAAATCGATGAAGAGAATCGTCGCTTGAAGAAGAAATCCAAAGTTGATGGTACATCATCGAAAAAGGGAAAGAAATCCTCGAAGAAATCCGATACAGTAGCTGCTGATGATAATGATGATGACATCTATCCAACAATTAAAGTCACACGTGGTGGTGAATTACCTGAAGGTGCCACCGCCAGCGGTAATGAAGACAATGACGACGATAATAATACGAAAGTTGGTAATAAAAACAAAAAATACGACCCACATCGAGCATTAAATATCGATCTGAATGAAGTTCCTAAACCAACACCATCACCTCCACAACCAAAACAAACCTCTCAGAAACCCGTAGACGTACCTTCTCCTCCCCCACCGGAATCTCATGAAAAACCGAAAAAGCCTAAGAAAAAGACCACTGCAGAAAAAGAGGCCAAAGCGACGAATTCGAAAACTAAACTGAAAAAGCCTGAACGCAGCGATTACAAAGAATTGGTATCCCCAATCGATGATGAAGAAACAACTGCTCCACCACCGCCGGCTTCTTCAACCATTCCAAACGAAAAACCCAAGAAAAAGAAAACTAAAGAGAAAAAATCCACTTCAAAAACAGCAGCTGCCGAAGCCAATCAATCTGCTCCGCTTCTATTCGATATCATGAGCGATGAGATTCCCTCGTCAAATCAATCTACTCAACAACAGAATGAGCAAGATCTATACAAACTAGCCGCTCAATCGGACAATCTCACTGTTGTAAGTCATTTACTTTCTCTTCGAATGTCCTTCGCCACCAAGAGAACCTTCATATTTTTAGGAATACTCAATCGTCTCGAAAACATCTGCAGCTGAACTTGATGTCACCTTTCTTCTTAAAAATCGCACCACATCGATCATCGACCACATTAGTATACATGTTGTCGACAGTATGAGTTCGAAGTTATTGAATACAACCAGTGCCAATCGAATATCGTTCCCAAGTTTAAGCCTCTTTCCTCATGCGCAAAATTATCTCCACGTGTTCTTCACTATCAACGCAATATCTTTCCCTCAAAAACTAAAAACAACTTTATCTTGTTCGGTTAATGTATGTTTTCTCTACACTAGATATCGAATCATTGTTTTCTTCATCATTGCAGAAATCGAATCAAATAGAAAACGATACAATTGAATTTAAACTTAATCTACCTTGCTCGCAATATTTAAGAAGAAAGACATTACATTCGTAAGTTAATTGTCATGAAAATCTTTCCATCGTTACTGTTATTTTCTGCAATAAAGTGATGCGTTTGCGGATCTGATGAATTCGGGAACATTGACATCTCAATCAAATGTAAACATCTCAACAGGCAAACCAAATTTCACATCGATAATCAATACCATTTGTCAATCTTATCGCTTAACCGGTTAGTAGAATATTTCTACACAAATCCTTATTTTCATTTGTCTCATTTCAGTTGTGGACAACGTCAACTCAGCCGCCTCACTCTATGCTGAAACAATTCTAGGTCATCCAGTTGCGCTTTTAATAAAATCTACCGTATGTCAACATTGTTCATCGGACGTCTACGTACTTGTTGTCCTCTGCCTTTATTTTAGAATTCTCCATCAAATATCTCAATTAACGGTAAATCAACAGAAGCACATTTTCTCTCGAATTTATTAGAAGAAATTCAAACATCATTCAAATAATTCTCCTTGTTTTTTTTCTCTCTCTCTCTGTCTCATTCCATTATTTTTATTTTTATTGATTCCATGGACAGTATTTATATATTAAAGCTCAGAAAAATCAACAGTGACATTGATAAATCCGTTATTTTTGTGTCATCTACTGCCTTTATATTTTAAGATGAAGAAAAAAACACAGTATCAAAGCAATCTCTTTTATGTGTTCATCTGACAGGCATTGAACTCACTGTTTTTGTTCGGTTCGAAATGAATCTAGTTAATTAACGTGTATCTGTTGTTATTTTTTTTTGTTTTATTAGAATTACTAATGTTATATGCTTATAAAAGGAGAAAAATGAAAGACGCATTATCGATGAAATATAAAACCTACATTACAGATCTTTCGCCTAACATACTGTCCGCATCGGCACTTTTATTTGATAAACAGTCGGTAGTCTATGTTGATAATTCATCAATTCGTTATGGCAACTAGCACATACGTATGAAAACTGATTTTGCTCAGGATATCCGTTTGTTAGTATCAGTTGTGGTTGTTTCATACATCGTCGACACATCTGATGCTGATGGTCTAGTGCAACGCATTGAACTGGGAAAGAGTTTCTCGTTTCAGCTTGTTGTGATATGAGCGCATATTCATATTCAACGTTCGAATCGGTTGCTAGTTGTTTGCAATATGGATATGAATAAGGTGCGTAGATTGATGTTGTTGATACGTCGGAAGATTCATAGGTAATGGATCGATGCAAATTGAAATGACGATAGGTGAAGTAGGCCAGAATATACAACGAGCAGCATAGAATATATAGACAAGCGCAAACTAGTTGAACACTTTCAAGGAAACGCTTGGACGTTCGAAGGAAATCCGGCCAAGCAGTTAGACTTTCATCATACGGACAACTTATTAGAAAACAACGTGTTGGATCGATGAGAACGAGAATATCGTAGGCGATTAACCCAATGCATAACAAAATCATACAAAAGCACGAGATCAAAGTAATCCGACGCCAAAATAATTTTGGTAAACATACTAAACACAAAAGATCGACTAGGAAAGAAACTTATTGGGAAGGTATATTTATCTACCTGTGATAAGAACACATATCGAGTTAATCGTCAGAGGTACAAAAATAATGAATCCACCGAATGCTGTCGATCGACGTGCATCGATAATTGTATGTCCAATTTCCATGCCGAGAATATTGAAAGAAAGACAAAGTAAGATTGCTCCAAGACTGGCCATCCAGATACATGGCCATTGTAAATGCCATCCATAGTTGTTGAAAATCATTGTATCGACATGTCTACTCGATTGCATTTGTTTGTCTTTTCATTGATTTTATTATTAAAATATGGCAGAGCAAACGACGAAGACGAGAAATCGAAGTTTTATTTCAATGAAATGAAAATAAAACGAAAGCCTTGATTTTGTTATGTCTTTTATTCATTAATGTCTACGTTAACTAAACAAGCAGATCTCTTCCCTTTTTCTCTCAAGTATTCGTGTATGCAAATGTTGAAACAAGTCTTAATTCAATACATTCTCGTTCTATATCTCGAAGAAAAAACATATGTCAAACATTCTGACGAATTTGTCAAGTATTTTTGTATTTACACGGTTTCCGAACGCATGTCTTCTGTCATTCTTGTAGGACACGAAGCTTTGTACGAGAAAACAAATCATATTAATAAACACACGCCTACTCTTGAAGCGATAGCGGTTAACACCGAATGTAAGAAGTTTTACGAACCATGCCCCTTTTTTGTAACGATGTTAGTAATCATATTTCATAAGCATTATATTCCATTGAGCTCGAAGACTGGAGAACGTTGTTGATTAATCGAAAAATGAACTCAGCCGTATTTATTGCCACATGATATTATTCATGATCTTATTTCATTTCAAATCAAGTAATGCACTGTTTTCATGTATGACTTCGCCAAATTCAAAACATAATAACAATCGATTACTTAGACGGAAATTATGTCGCACAGAAATGTTATTACACTCACAAGTGACTCGAATCTTTGAATAATCAAATAGAACCGTGCTTTTTTTCTTCTTTTTCTTTTTTAATAAGTCTATCAAATGAGAGAATACAATCAATTAAATCCAAAATGTTGTTAGTAGACGATACTTCCGACGTCTGTAAATGTGAGAATCGAATGTATGATACTCAACCAGCATCTTAAGCATATACCTCGAGGAGTAGATATGAGTTTACACGGAATGCACTTGTTTCGAGGGTTCAAAGAAATGATTTACCCGGTCGGATACAAAATCTCGTTTATTGTTGTAACCACCTGAAGAACGAAAGTCTTTGTGCCGAACTGCAAACAGCCTTGTACTTTCAAATAGATCAGGCCCTTTAATAAACTCGCCAATAGGATTCTAGGAATCTCGGTATATTTAGATCTATTTTTCCTTCAGGATTTTCATATTTAATATGTCTATAACATTTCATATAAGCAAACTTCTTCCTTCATAGAATATTTACTCTTCTGAAAAGTCTTGCATCTGATTTCCGTTCGGTAAATGTTTTCCACCTAATCTATCATCAAATATGTAGGTGTGTGCGCGTATATAGTCGTGCTAAATGTTCAAGTAGTGACTTGAAATGTAAGAATGACGTTTTAGATGAATGTGAGATGCGAGAGCAGTTTAGCAGATTGCCTGCACTCGTTCATCAAGCCGTGTTTTTCAACTTAAAGTATTTTGCATGTCAGATACTAGTCGGATGTTTATTACATTCTATTTAGACGGCAAAATGAGAGAAAGTAATTACGTGAAATGGGCGACATCGTTCTTTTTTCCATTCTCCTCCGAGTTACTTTTCTAAAAGCAACTATAAAATATTTATGCTGAATAAAAGAAATAGGAGCAGAGAGAAACTTGTGAAGAGTGTTATTTTTCTCTTTTCTTCGCTCACCACTTTGCTAAATTTGTCTCCAATGAAATACGAGACTGTGAGAAAAACGGAAGTCTATCAAAACACATGAAAAAGAAGGAAAAAAATAATATGCTTGTTAGGAAAAATACGAAAGAACGGGAGAAAAAAAGGAGAGGTTTATTGACTTAAACACAAAAACAAGGTGCAAAAGACGGAAAGAGAGAAAAAGTATGAGCGAGAGAAAAAAATAGAGAACGAGAGACGAGTGTAGCTGTTCTATTAATGATCATTTTAACGTTTAACATACTCAACGACAGTTGTTCTCTGCTGCTGGCGGCAGAGCTTTCCCAATTACATATCGCAGGCGATTATCCCTTACGTAATTTGAATAAATTCAAATCAAATCAAAACAAACAAGAATATCATGTCTTTACAACAATATTGGCAAACACAAAACTCTTTCTTCGATTTATCGGCTGGATCGATAAACAAACTTGGTTATTGCAACTATTTTACAGATCCACAACAAGAGGAATACGATGGCGCCAAGGTAAGACTTTCAACTACGAATAGGCAAAATATTGTAGGCGGGATATTTTAGCCACTTCGAAAACGTCGAGATGATACCAATGATATTATTAATCAACTCTTCGATGCAACATTAGTACGACGACCAGGTCAACGTGATGTCGTTCGCGTCGGTGGACGAAAGAACAAAAACGAAATCTTAGGTTTAACAAATGCTCGTCTTATCAAAAACATTCATTTAAATGGTGACAAATATTCACGTAAGTATTCGCATCTTTCCCGAGAGACAAACCTCTACTTGTTGACTCTTCAGGTGACATCGAACTTGTACGTGGTATTCAAACAAGCGTGAACAATGGCGATTTTATTCTTGTCCTTCGTACTGATGGCCGCATCGTCGCTATGAGTGATGAAGTTGAAAATCATTTAGGCAAGACAATGGTAGGATCCGCGCGTTATTTGCATTCTTCTCTAAAATGAATGGTTGCTCTTTTTAGCGTTCCTTGTACACTCAGTGCATGAATCTTTATGATTGTCTTGATAAGGCTGACCGAGAAAAGTTACATGATGTTTTAGTTACATCCGATGACGTGGCAAATAAGGAATATCAACTTGTTTGCACTTTTCGTTTACCCAAAGGTAAACGTCCAAGTCGAACGCGTGAAGACGTAAAGGTAGATACAATCATGATTGTTCTACTTGTTATGCATTGATTTATTTAGGCAATTTCAATGGCTGGCCATTTCTATTCATGTCATGATGCATGTTATGATCGTTTATTTGTTGCTCGTTGTCAAGCTTTAGTTTCTCGTACAACAAACGAGACGAGTTCATCGCAAACAACTTTGACGAATACATCAATGATGAAAATAACTTTGAATGACGATATGACTGTTAGTATGGTCTCATCAAAGTAAGTGATCAAAAGAAAGAGGAGACTAACTATGTTGTGTGTTTTTCTTTCAGCGTCAAAGATGTTCTTGGTTATGCACGAAATGAAATTATCGGAAACTGGTTTGGTCGTTACTTATCATCAGAAGACTTGGAAAAGTTCGAAAACATTCGGCAATTACATTGTAAGACATGCTTTGATATTGGGCAAAATGAAATTGAACCGTTCTCTTTGTCTATGTAGTTCAAAACGAACAACAAGCACCAAAAAGTATTTGCGAATTATTCGATATCTACGCAAATCATGGTGAAAGCCGACTGACCTTCTTATGTCAAATTCGACCAATGCGTGAACGACGTGCAAAATCAATCAAATATGCCATTGTTGCTCAACTAATTGAGTAAGTTCGCTTGTCACCAATCGAAAAGTATACTGAGCAACGTGTCTTCTTCGTTTCTAGTCCATCAATGCGAAACGAATATATGAAGTATGTTCATGATGAAGCTGAACCGAATCAAGTGACAATCAAAGTCGAACAAGTAAATCTGGGTGCGCAGTGAGAGAAGGGGTTTTTGCTAGCAAAGTTTACGTTTTCTATTTCATTTCAATTAGTTTCCCCGCCAATGCCTAAGTCGAGCGAAGATACACTCATGGCCGATAGCCCGTCGCTCTCCATGGGTCTCCTCATGTTCGACAATGTCAACAATAATGAATGTAGCCCACGACAACAACAACAACAACAACAGCCGTCGCCTATCTCTCGATCACTCTCAAACGTTGTTGCACCATTCATATTCGACGATGAAACTTCAGAATTGTTCCAATACCAATACGGTCAAGATTCAACAATCAACGCACCTGTACACTACTGGCCAAGTAAAGTCATCGATGATACATTTATCAAGTATCAATTTGAACAAGAACTAGCCAGTATCGATGCGCTCATCAATGATTTCTAAACATATTGGAACAGTGGCAGATCGCGCACGACTTCTCAATCGCTTTTGTTTTCATTTGATTTTTGGATTTTGTTGCAGCAGGTCTGTGCTTAACGAATCTAATTGATCTCTCGTCTCTTCTTCGATAAGCCGGGTGCTTTCGAACTTATATCTTGATTTTCTTCTTTATCTATATATTCTAATCTATATTAGCTTATTGTCAGTAATTTACTCTTCGTTCATCGATGTTGTCAGTAATCCGTGAAAGCAAAACTGTGCGCGATCTCCCGGTGAACTCGTTTCGTTTTCTTTGATTTTCTTTTCATTTTTGCTGTTGTTTTCAAGTCTCCTGATTTTCTGCATGTCAATAAAAATTGATTGAAAAATCAACAACTTCATCTCTAAATATACCTGGCTTATCGTTATGCACATATTTACTAATAGATGATATTTGATATGCGCAAATAATCGATGCTGGACATATATGCGTCTGTCTTTGACATCGCTATTCAAGTCTCTGACGAGAAAAAAGCAAATGCTATGAACGAGAAACAGTTCTTGGAAGCTAACTAAGTTATTCACCTTGCGCATTGTTGTTCTTGTTTGATGAAAAACTTTCTAATAGACTTGCCCTCAATTATCTGTCTATTTCCGAACGGCGTTGCTGACACGCTAATCTTCTCGACTGAAAGCGTTCTCTCCACATCCAGGGACAACGTTTTTCTGATCTTCTTCAAGGACATGAAATATAAGTCTCCAATTTCAGGCACATTGAATATTGGATACTTCTTGAAGGAAAAAAAGAACAATTAGTGAGATGCAAAATCAACATTTACCCCGTGAGTATGCATTAATATTTACTCAGTAAAATGAACGTTAGCGATGTGGAAAGAATTCTCAATGAATCACTTGTCGGAGTATCTCGCAAATTAATTGAAAAGGTAGTTGTTTGATATTCTCTGTGTTCAGCAGAGAACCAACATAATCAGGTCTAAAAATACTTGCTTTGATTACGTCTTCTTGTAATTAAATGTTCGAGAAAGAACTGACGTCATCAGTATTCTTTATGGACGTCTTCCTTTTTGAAAAATATCATGGCAAGGAGCATATGTGTGACTCCTGTTGCTATTTTTATTATTGATATTTGCATCTCTAATCTGAGGGATGCTCATAGAATATGAATCAACTGTCAGTTTGTGTATGTTTGATATTTCACTAGCACGCAGTAGATGACGTCGTTTTGTTTCTCCTATTCGGGCATTTGTCACGACGAATTAAATTCCAGGACACGTTAGCTTGACAGAAATGAGTCTTGATTGGATTAAAAATTCTGTCTAAATCAATCTCAGTTGAAAACATCGATAAAGACAAGAACGTAATAAGCATTCTCATTGAAATTACTTTTGCTTTAGACACAAGTGTCAGTTATGTTTTGTTCACACAAAGTAAGAGAAGTCAACAGTACCCCTTCTCTAACGCATACGTATAATTATAATTCGGAAGTTTTCAAAATCAAATTCATACTAAGAAGAAAAATATGTAATTTTAAGTACACGCGTTCATGTTGATTGCTAATCAAGCATTCAGATGGTTTATGCGCAAGCGCGAAAGTGAATGCAATAGGAAAAGTCACATTGAAATTCTTTATTCATTACTAATGCTTCGCAGATAGACAGAGGAAGTCATTTGGAAGGCGAAGGTGTTTGTTATTTGTTTATGAAAACCTTGACTAGAATCTCAATTCATCGCATGGCTTTTTCAATAATGAATTTTAACCTGGAGTACTCTACGATAGAGAAACTCTAAGGCGCAAAATAGAAATTGTCATATTCTCATCACATAAATAGCTAAATAACACGCATCGAACTCCTTGTTGATAAATTGATGATAAATATTGTTCAATAAGATCGTTCCACGGGATTTGTCATGTCAGTTAGATGAGAAATAGTTGTGACTTTAACTTCGCATCAGACATTCTGCAGATCTGTCTGTGCAAAGATTAAACATTTTCTATTTGTTCATACGACAAGATAATGAGTTTAAACTTATCCTTTTAGACATTGTTTCAAAGCAGAATAGGCTTTAATCTATAGAAACCATCGTCTATTTTGGCAAACGACACAGACACTATTGCGACGTTAGCCTATTCTATAAAAGTTTTAAATCTATTTTTATGCTAATGCTGAAGAAAACGTTCAAGATTACGATTAAATCTGATGGAATTTGTGTAATAGAATATGCACCTGTCAATGTTAACCTGTTTAGCAGTTGAGTACACTGAATGACGTGTGATCCTAGGAACGTCGCTTCTCTCGCGTGTATTCATGTGACAACAAATACTGAGTATAGATTTGAATTTCTCATGTTTAAGTAAAAGAAGAAGAACAAGAAAAATGATCAAGCACGCAATACAATACAACACACTCATGTGCGCGTAAAAACAAAAACGACATCAGTTTGTGCTGTTAAACACATGAAAATTAGACAAATAAGCCAGAGAAAACAAAATGTACAAAGCCTAGGAAGTAAGAATCAAACTGAACGATAAACGAAATGGTTTTTTTTTTATTCTCGGGGGTAACCGATATTTATGTGTTGTCGAAAGAAACAATTGTATCTACGAAATGAAGTTGTATTTTTCTGCGTACTGTTCTTCAACAGAGACTATTCATCTGTTTTAATATTGATTAGTAATAACAACTAGAAGATGTTCACCATCGGTCATTGTTGGGCGTGATGGTGGTGTACGTGGGCCATTGGAAAAGCTCATTGATGGACACATAACTTGGAGAAGCTTTTTACTGAATAAACACGGTGGATATACATTCATAACAGCCTTTTCTTGATCCTGAGAATGCAATGGAACCGATATGACACCAGCAGCTTCTTTCCTACCAGAGAAAATCAAAAACTATTTGAATGAAATTGATCGAATTTCTCAAACGCTTACGTTGCAAGATAAGTTATCAAATGAGAAAGTGACGATTCGTCATCGACACGACCATCGGTATTTCTCTTCGATTGTGAACGTTCGTCATTTTCATCGGATGACGATGCATGATTGGGCGATCTTCCTCTTCCATTAGGTCGACGTTGTTTCGAAGTACCCGAATTTACATTGATCAAATGCGCCGTTGGTGAAGTAACCAAAATTGCGAAAGTTATTTGACTTGACTGCTTTCGACTACTAGATGATGATTGCCCATTGGCGCTGGAGATTGAATTGCTGACACTTGTACGAATCTTCTTTTCTAAATCATCGAACTTAAGTGGATCCAGACGCAGTCTTTGAGTAACGTTCAATGCTTTCTTATCATCTGTATAACTACTCGATTGGCCTACGAAAGAAAACGTTTGAATTTTATTTCTCATAGAGAACGTCTTACTGAGAACAGCGTTCGCGAAATTCAAATCTCCAGCAAGGAAATGCATACGTGCATCATACGCATGCGATTTGAGTACAAATTGAACCGAATAAGCAGTAGGTCGAGTATTTCTAATCTTGGAATTCAGTTTTTCACATAAAGTTATGAGTTCATTAACATTGTTGATGTTGTTCGTATCATCGGGCGACAAATACGAACCATATGGACTATAGAATGTTTGCCCAGCAACAGGTGCAACTGGACTTGGAGTTCGTCGTTTCGATGGCGCGGATGCGGGTGAAACTGGCGAACGTGAATGCGATTGTCTTTTGAAATTTTTGCTTGCATCTTGTTCATCATCGCGAGAGACTGATCGAAGACGATCTTTCGGTGAACGAGAACGTTCTAATGAAGCTGATGATGCAGATGATGATCGAGATGTTCGCTGTTTGGATGTATTGTCTTGTGGACGAACGATAACGAAACGTCGAGCGGTTGGTTGGTCGAGATAATCAATTCGAAGACCAGCTAGAATGAGGAAAACACGTCTCGAAATGTTACTTCTTACTTAATAATAAATTTACCTCGACGAGTTGTATCTGATTGGCCCGATTCAGTTCGTACTTTTCGTCCATCGACTATCTGCGTTACACCTGTCATTTTTGCACGTGCAGCTATGGCATGTTCAATGTCACTATAAGAAACCACAGCTATTGGATCACCATTGGAGTAATCAAATGATTTTAATTGTCCATAACGTGCAAATGCTTGTTCAAGATCACGTCGCTTCATATCCATTGCTATATTGCCTACCCACAGACAATTGGTTGGTACGATTTTGCCTGAAACATATAATTCATATGGGCATATAAATTCATCGATCACATTGACCAAAATGATGTATAAAATTAAAGAGAAACGAAAAGAAGAATCTTGCAAACTCCCTATCATTGTAATCAATGTCATATTAATATAGTAATAAATGAAAAGAACTAAAATGTTTCTATGAACGCATAGTAAAAGAACATCAGCCAACTAAATTGACCAAATTAATTAATGCATTTATCATGTGTATCGAAAGAAGGATTAACACACGATCTTTTAGAGAGAAGAAAATGAAAGAATGAGGGAGGGATCCAGTTTGTTTATATATATATATATATATATTTATCAACGACATGTTATCACCAGTAAGATAATGACCAAAGTTGTATTCTCTATGGCATTTTGTTTCTCTTGTCAAATGGATATGAATGTATGTGTATGCGTATACACTTGCAATTTAATTCATTATTTATCATAAAATGTGTTAAACTTTATGTGATAGCTTTCCTATACGAACACTTCTGCTTTATTCTGTGCTCAAACGCAAATGCATCATGGCTATAATACGCCAAATAAAAATTGTGTATAGATAACACAATGAATATGAATTTTAAATCGAAATTTCTAAAATACAAGAGCTATAAAGGTCAAAAACAGACAAGACAAAAAAGAAGAAGATAGATGTGCATCAGGAAGCATATACATATGTATTAGAAAGCCACGAAAAGCCAGCCAATTTGGAGAAAGGAAAGAAAGAGTTGCTTTTACATACCGTATCCTATTTTGCAATCGGCTTTACCAATGAAATGTCCGTCCATCGCTCGACGAGCTTCGTATGCCATGTCCATATTTTCATATTGAATAAAAGCATAAGCGCGTTTTGATGATGATTGAGGAACTTTTAAATCAACTAAATTATAGGTTGACAAAAGAAAGAAATGAGGATTTCTGAACGCGTGTAACGACATACTTTCTTCAATAGTTCCATAACGACCGAAAACCTCTCTCAATTTCGATTCCCTAACGTCGCGTTCGAGATTTCCAACAAATAGAGTACGTGTTGGTTCATGTTGAACATTCGATTCAGTTCGGCTAGCAGTAGGATCATCATGTTTTGGGCGACTTTTTTGTGCGTCTGGTGATGCCGACTGCGAACGACTTCGACTGCGACGCCGTTGACGTGGTGGCGATGGCGGAGCATGTGTTTCTCGACTAGATTTTGAAGCAGCGTAATCAGCCAAATCGGGTGGTATCGGTATATACGGTGAATAATGTCGACGACCACGAGGTGGTGAAGATGTACGATAAGGTCGGCTTCGTGAACTGACTGGTGGTGGACTTGATGATGGGCGACGTTGCCGACGTTTTGGCGAAGGTGGAGAACGAGGTGATCGTGGAGAACGGCCACGTGGACTCGAAGCATTGATCGGTTGCTCAGCTGGAACTGTTCGACGATAATAAACTCTAGAGAAAATGAACGTTTGCGGAATTTAGATTTTCGTGTAAAGAAAAATACTGACGGTTCTAGAAGAACTTGCATATTTTCCCAAACGAGTCCTGTTTTTGCATGACGTGCTCGTCTTGCATCTTCACAATTTGTAAAATTAACAAAAGCAACACGTTCTTGATTACGATAGTAGATTTTCACCAAATTGGTACCATATTTTGTAAATTTTTTTGCGCACAATTCTCGCACTTCTACAACAAGGAAGAAAAACATATTCGTTTGCGTTTTCACATGGACTATTTACCGAGATCAGGTATTTTCGGATTGATATTTTTGACACAAATCGATGTGTAAAGTCTTTGTTGATCATTGTTATTACTACTAACATCGCCTGAACTTGATGGTTTCGAGCGTTTTGAAGGTGGTGCACCACTGCCTGATGGTGAACGCGAATAACGTGCTCGACGAGAGCCGCCAGCACTACTTGAAATAGGAGGAGAACTCATGTTTGGCTCGTTTCTTATTCTATCTGAAAATGAATATCGATATCGATTTTGACGATGATTAACATTATTGAGAAAGTTATTATGTAGATAACAATGCTCGATGGTACACTGTGGATCATTTAATGTTTGAAGGAGGAAAAACCATTCGATGCAGTTATGCACTTTGCATCGCGCAATGTAGGTGGACACGGAAAGGGAGAAAAGAGAGAGAGAAAGGGAAAAAGTGAAAAGTAGCGGAACGAAATATGACAATCGATTCAGTTATCGAAAAATGAAAAAAAAAAGAACTTTAATTATTTCAATGATGACATACGCGTCCAATTTCTTATCGAAATATCAATCTGATATATGAGTGTCTGCATAATTCATACAGAACGAGATTGCTATCTGTTACCATATATTCAGAGTCGTATGATCTTAAAGTTTTCCGTACGTGCCATTTCGAATGTTTCGTATTGACAATATTTAAATAGGAATTGCAATACTTGTTCTGTTATTCAAATTATCTATTTAGATCGTGGAGAACAAACGCTGTCTATTCACAACGAATCGAGTACACGCAAATCCAATTCGCAGTATTTTAAGCATACTTCCATTGAAATCGATTTTCTTTGTTAGAAAACTATTTATAGGCATCAAGACACAATCTAGTTCTTCTTCAAAGTTGAGTTTCCATGGGTATTTTAAAATGCAGACACATTTGAAACAGCGATTCAAATGTTTTTCCTAAGTATGCACGTTCTCGAAAGCATCGTAAGTGTACCGACAATGTTCGTGTGAAAATATTTGTACCCTCTGATTTTCATCAAATCTCAGCGCATCTTTCAATCAATAAACATAAATCGAACAGAAACATAACTCCTAGTAGCAGTTATCATTATCTGATAGTGCAGCTCGTTATCAAATGACGTCGAATATTTTGATTGATTGCCATGCGCGTTTTGGTGCCGAAATGTATAATAGTACAAAAATACGTCTGAGTAGATTAGGCTGATCATATATTTTATGACTGATGTCATTTATTCATCTATTTTTAAGGTAATATGTGCTATACATTTGATTATTCTGTATTGACGAATCAGTGATTGGAACGGATACTTTATTACTATGTTTTTTATGTTTAAGGAAGAAAGGGAGAGAGAGCAGTGATACGAAACGATTTTATAGTCATAGTTGACGATTGCTTTATTGATGCACTTTCATATTCGATTCAAGTCGGACAGAAATCAAACAATGGAATGACTATGAATAATAGATAGTAGGTAAAACTAGACAATTGAGATAAGTAATCCGAATCGATGATGAATTGTCTATTTTTCTCTTTGTTTTGTGAAAACATTCAGCTCATACCTGTTTTAATATTTCGCTTTCTATATTTAATGTATATTCTACGATTGTAATACTGAATATCATTAGTTTTACATTTTAGCAACTGTAAATCTTATGACGTACGATGTGGAAAACCCCGGGGTCGGACCTCCTAGTGCGTTGAAATTTTATATCGATGCAGAAATGACTCAATTCGAAGAAGTGGGTGGAACCTGCGCAAATCGCGATAATTTTGATGAAGATTGTTTTACAGTTCGCAGTGTAGTCATCGGACTCATCTTCGTTATAGCTACATCATATCTTCATCAATGGACTGTTTACACATTCAGTCGTACGTACATTGGTCCGATGTTAGTTATTATGTTGATCTATCTAATCGGTCATCTTTGGGCATATGTTGTGCCCAAAGCAAAACCATTTACTCAAAAAGAGCATGCATTGGCACTGGTCATGGCTAATGTGTCTTATATGTATTATCTGCAATTTAATTTCGCCACGGCGGCAGCAATACCATTGCTCGAAAATGATTATCTAAATTTTGTCAATTATTTCTTTCTTGTTTTGGCATTTCAATTTCTTGGCTTTGGGTTAGCCGGTACGTTTCATTCGTGTTTTAAATTACGAACAGTTTGTCCTCAATGTTATTTCTAGGTGTACTACGACGGTTCTTAGTTTGGCCAACTGAAGTTATCTGGCCACAGAACTTGCCGTTGATTGCTATTTTACGCACGTTACATGAACGTGAAACAAGTACAAAGCAAGATTCGTATGGAACAGTGAAAACCCGCAGTTTCAAAGAAGTTTTATATCAAAACAAATTACTATTTTTCTTCCTAGTGACCATCGTGGCGTTTATTTACGAATGGTTTCCATTATTTATCGCGCCCTTCCTCTCTGTTTTCTCGTGGATGTGTATGTTCGACATAAACAATCATTTACTGGGGCAACTAACTGCCGTTCGTGGCCTTGCATTGGGTGGCGGTGGACTTACACTCGATTGGATGAAGATAACACAATATCTTGGTTCACCACTCATTCTACCTGGTTGGGCACTCATTAACATTGGCTTTGGTTTTGTACTGATCATCTGGTTTATCGTACCGATTGTATATGCGTCGAACGTACGACAAGTACAGTCTCGTGCTATTGCTGGTGTGATGTTTACAGGTATAACAGCGATGAACCTCGTGACATCATTCACATCATTTGCATATATACCAGCGATTTTCGTGCATACTGCTCTTTTTCATGGCTACAATCTTTGGGATCAACTTCGATCGAAATCACTCACTAATATGGGTAATGATATGCACGCTCGACTTATGTCAGCCTATGCATACGTTCCTGAATGGTGGTACTTTGCATTATTTTCAGCTTCCTTAATTACCGTTTGTATTATTTGTAATCATAATGGTTGGCTACCGTGGTATTTAGTACTTCTATCTCTCGTTATTAACGCAAGCCTTGTTCTTCCTGTTGGACTTGTTTCGTCGATTACTGGACAATTCCTTCATAATGCACCGGTGTACTATCTCAATGTAATTATCTCACAAGGCTTATCATTGGGAAATGAGTCCAAACAAACGTATACGTTCATCGTTGTTGGATATATACTCTTCGTTCAGACACTCGCTCTCATTCAAGATATGAAATTGGGACATTATATGAAAATCGGACCACGTTATATGTTTGCTGCTCAATGTCTCGCAGGTTTTGTCTGTGCAATCTTTAGCATCGGTATTCAATATATGAATTTTAATAATTATGGTCTTAACAATCAATATGATTCAAGTTTTTCCATATTCGACTATACACTACTGGGTGGAAGTGCTTTTAATGATGTCGATGGGTTTTTCGCCGGTGCAAACACGACAAACCGTGTTTTATTGTGGGCGTTTTTAGTCGGCGCATTGCTGCCCATTCCTGGCTGGGCTTTATCACGCTGGACTCGATTTACTTGGCTGAAACATCTTCATTGGCCTCTTATTTTAGTATCATTCAGCTGGATGCCTGCACTTTTAACGGCAGGTGCGCTTTTTACTTGGCTTCTCATCGGCCTCGGAGTCTATTTCACAATTGGGAAGTACACTTGGAGTCAACGTCATATTTATTTAACATCGGGCGCACTCGATCTTGGTTTAAATTTGACTTTAATCTGTGTAAATATCGCTTTTACTAATTTCAACCGTACATTTCCAAGCTGGAGAGGTACGGCAGTTAACAATGGCTGGGACACCTGCAAACAAGCCTTAGTTGGCAATTCTTCATAAACATTGAGTATTTAAATCAGTTCTGTAATCAAAATACTAACATTGTATGACTGTGCATTAAATGTTTAACATAAAAATGGTAACTTTCACGATCTTGTGCTCTTTCATTCTAATATAAAAGCAGAACAAGAGTGCCTAATATGAATGACACTTGATGATTACACACAGTGAAGATGAAATGGTATGGGTTGCTACGTAACTGTGAGAAACACATAAAATTGTTAGTTATAATTTGATTTTGATATTTATTTTCCAAATTTTGGACAAAGAAAATCGATCCTCTCCGAAATGTTTGTGTTTCTCATAGGAACGCCAACGTTAAGTTATCACATTCCGTGAAAAACACATTTTAAAATCACGAGATTGTTTTTGCCATCGTTTCTGAACAGTATTTTTCTCGAACTACACATCAAATTATTATTAATGTTTGTATTTAACCCTAAAAAAAGAATTTGTTTCTGTTTGAGAAAAACATCGATCTCCATGGTACTATTATTTGATGAAAGACATCTTATCCAATCAGAAGTCTATTTTTTTACCATCTCACCTAGTTCCTCGTTCGCGTCTTGGAATAACACGGTGTATATAAAGGAAAGACAAGTAAGATGTATCGTTTCATTCTCACCCGAAGAGAGCAAAGTATTGAATTACCTTCAATAACGTCACACTCGTCCGACACGTAAGTAGCATCAGAAGTGCGAGCTAAAGATTACTTATAACGTAATGAGTACGATCTTTAGAAAAAAAGTAGATCACATTTGAATGAATGAATCTATGTTTTTCTGAGTAGAACGGTGTAGCTCGATTCTTAACGATATGAGCTCGCTCTGTATTTCCAAATGAAAACGTTCGATCAATAATAAATATTTGCGTTGTATGATAACTGCTTTGAACATTTCTTCTAGGGGTGGCACTTTAACTTTAACTTTAAAGGAAAAGTTAAAGTTTAAAGTTGCTTAAAAACATAAAATAAAGAAGTTTAACGCGACTTTAAAGAACTTTATACTTTAACTTTTTCTTTAAAGTTAAAGTTAAAGTGCCACCCCTAATTTCTTCGAACATTTTTTATTAGTTTTCGTATCAAGATAACAGTTGTTTAGAACCGCTCGTCGAAAAGAAAATAACATTATTTTTTAAACAATATTCATCTGTTGAGTCTTTACTGCAACCGTCTCAAAATAACTGTCAAGCGTGATTTATCTCTCTTTCAGAAATATTTGATGTTTGAAAGGAAAACTTTTTTACCGGCTGTTTTGCTAATATTTACAGAAACTTTTTTGCAGTTTAACATTTCATCGTCAGTTATTGCACGAGAACGCCTCGTTCTTCTTTAAAAAAACAACATTGATAAGGACTATTCTTTATTACATTTAGAACAAGCATACTACCAGGTGCTAAAAGATAATTATCGACATGGCTGATCCGAAAAATGTTCATACAAATCAACCAATGAGTCACGGAAATACAAGTAATCCTTTCTTCGCACCTACTACACAATGGTCAGTTGGCTTGTTTGATTGCTGTGATAACATGGGCGACTGTGAGTATTGTGTCCACACGATCCGCATGACGTCATAATGATGTGCGTACATTTTTCTGCTTAGGTTGTTGTGCTTGGATATGCCCGTGCTGTTTCATGCACAGTCTGGGCAAGAGTATCAATGAAGAGTCGATGATTGGCTGTTGCATTCCGAGTCAAGCGGCTGTTTATCGCATGAAAATTCGATCGTTTCTTCATATCGAAGTATGTGTTTAGTTGTCGATCGCCAACACGGAATGAATTGAATATTGTGGCCATTTGATTTTAGGGATCAGCAGTGAACGATTGTTTGACGGCCTCTTGTTGTGGAGTATGCACTGTTGTGCAAATGAAATCGGAATTGAAAAACCGCGGCTTGGCCTAGTCATAAAATCGGATTGCTCCAAAACATATGAACATTGTCGAAATTCTTTATAATTCAAAATAAAATTTTGCAGTACACTCATCGTATCTAAAGATCGATTCAGCCTTATGACTTCGTTTTGTTTTTATTTACCATAACAAAGCATCAATAGAATAATATATTCTTTTCTCCCTCTCTCTGTCTCCTTCACGTGCCGCACATTGACGCAAATTTCAAGGCGATTGACTCATCCCATGATAGTCCTTGTTTTCCTGTGGATACTACTCCTGAAAATAGTCTACCAAGATGATGAATGTGCTTCCATTGTTCATCCAAAATCATCTCACACATATCAAATTTTCCCATCTGAAAATCATCGAATTGATTCGCGATTAAAACTCCACCACATAACCATTCTTGGTACCCATAATAGTTATCATAAAAGCAATCGATTCTATCGGTATGAACATTCCGATCTCGATGCTCAATTGATGTCTGGTATCCGACAAATTGAATTGGATATTCACGTAATTCATAAGAATTATCTTGTGTATCACTTGCAAATCATCGATGATCGAACCAATTGTTACTGTTTTAATGATTGCTTATTGAAAATACGCCGATGGATCGAGCGAAATCCCAGTCATTACCCGATTTTTTTATTTATTGAAATTAAGCAACGATTCTATGAAGACTTTCTCACGGCATTCACCGGCGGCATTCAATGTGAACATTTCTACTCTCTGAAACAGCAAATTTTACAGGTCTTCTCCTCTGATTCATTGATTTTGCCGGATTTCATTCGTGGACATCATCGTTCAATACGAACTGCTCTAAAAAACCAACGAAATGATGAACTAAGCGGAAATTATGAATACAGAAACTATGGTTGGCCACCGATCTCATTATCCTTAGGGAAAATTTTGATCAGTATCGTTGACGATCGATTTAATCTTTTCATTAATCTAATTCCAACTTGTAAACCATTAACTAATTTCTTTTTCATCTCTCAATCCAATCTCAATGTATCCTACGCATCGATTATTAACATAGGAAATCCACTAGGACAAGAACAAATCATCATGTCTAGTCAGATCAATGGACAACTTACGCGTACGTTGATTGGTTACGGCGGTGAGCAATCTTTTCGTCGATACATTCAAGCTCGAAGGTATGGGATTCACATAATCAGTACGGATTTCGTTCAATGCAATCATTCCGAGATATGTCAAAGTATTACCAGTGATTTTCCAGGCTCTACGCCAGCCATATGCAATCATGTACTCGCTCCGAGTTTTTGCAATCTATCGATAGACTATCTTTGACAAAAAAAACTATTTTTTTTTATTAATTTTATCAAAACAGAGATACTAAAAGAAAAACAAAGACATGTGTGCATTCATTCTATGAGAGAAGCTGTTTCGATCTATCGTATGTCGATAATTTCAATTGTGATTTAGCTGTCGCAAGGCGTCGTTCTAAGAATTCGATATCTTTTTCAAGTTCATGTTCTTCATCATGATTCTTCCGCAGTGGACTATTTGGAATTGTTGACTTGGGAACTAGAAATGAACGCAAAGAAGCATGAATAATTTTGTCAAATGAAGGAATATTTACATTCTGAACGATCTAAAGTTCTGTTTTTATCCATTAATAAGAATGTTTTTGTCATTGCTAGTTCAAATTTGAGTTCACTTTGTCGATGCTTCAACTGGTATATTCGTTGTTGACTATTAGACTTATCCGATATCTAAAAACAAACATCATTCACATGGACATTGTTATCACGCGAAGACTTACAGTTGGACTATTCCATGAACCATTACTATTCGTCCGACGATCATCTAAACAAACATGTTTATACGAAATTCTTTTTTTATTAAACCTGAACGTTACCTTTCCGTGTTGACTTATTACGTATTTTAATTGAATTATTTGCATTTGTAATATTTGTCGGCATTGATGCAAGCATTTCTTCAAGTATTGTATTACTCATCGATTCGTAACCACTTGAACTGGCACGTCCAGATGCCGATGAAGCTGTACTACTTGTTGTTAATGGCATTAGATCATCATGAGAATCTAATGTTACTGTTAATGGTGATATTAAAGGTGATGATGGTGGTGATTGAATAACAATTGTTTGTTGAGGATGTGATGAACGTAAACCAAATATGCGTTGGAAAATTGACGGACGAGTAGTTGATTCAGCGAGACTAGTGGTACGCAAAGGTATTTGGGGTTTATTTGTTGATGTACGTGCACGTCGTGTTCGAGGAATGATTAACGGAGAATTCGGCACAGATGGATGCGTATTGTCAATTGGAAGAATTTTATCAAAACGCGTCGGAGAAACAATTCGTGATAGACGTTTTGTTTTTTCATCGGTCGACATTAATGATGATAGATGATCGATGCGATTTAATGATTTACTCATCGTTGATTGATTATCAGTCGCATTCGGTACGATAGGTGATGGTACCAGAAGAGTTTCCAAAGTCTTCTCTAACATCTCCAAATCGTCATTTAACTTGTTTGTACTTAATTTTAAATTGAGTTTCGGGGAGTCGAGTGTTGTCACGGGTTTCGTTTTGGTTAACAATTGATTCGAACGAAATGGAAGTAAGCTATGATCTTTAAATACAGGGAGAACAGGCAGATGGCAATGTGAACTAACAACCGATTCTGTATCGAAACTCTTCGAATCTTCGTGATCATGTGGAGAGTACGAAACAAGTTTCGCTTTGGTATGCATTGGTTTCGATCGATGTCGAGGAGTTGATCGATGTGATGAAATTTTAGGTGAACGAGGAGAGAATTGACGTGGACCATCGATCCAAATTTCATTCTTAGGATGTGATGAGCTCAATGGGCCATCAACCCAAATTTCTTCGTGGGGACGATTGAGTACTGTTTCAGTCGAAGTTGATTCACGTGACATCTGGAAAAAAAAGATACCATCGTTCCTCGTCTTTCTTTTCCCATTCTGTCTATACTCTTACTTTCGATCGAGTTCGTCGTAATTTAAGTAGTCGTTGAATTTTCGAATATGATTTCAATTGTTTATCGTTAGTTATAGTTGCTAATATATACAAAAAATGTTCTTCACTATTAATCACGTATTCATGGAAGATTGATGTTAAAGAGAATAATGATTGTTCGTGACTATTGCGTGGACTATTATACAAAAAGAGAGAGAGAGATTATGCTTAGTAGACATTTATATACATATGTTAGAGACATTAACGAAGAAGAAAGACATATGTTTAATAGTGTAATTAGTTGAAGATGGCATCGAAGTGAAACTTACTTAGATAAATGGAACGATTGTTTCTGTCTATTTGACGGTAAAGATAATGACAATGACAGGAGAAGATTGGAGAATTCTTCGAGATTTGTGCTTTCAGGATGCTTATCATTTGTCGAAAGAAGATGAAGTTGTACACAGTGCTTATTTGATAGACGATTTAGAAGATGAAATGTTATCAGTAGAGGACAAGATTGATGATCTAAACACGATTGTTTTAACTGATCGAATGTTTCAGTTGAATAATCACTGGGTAATAAAACAAATTTGCCTAGGAAGAAAAGCATACATTGAACAATTACCTACTATAGTTCGATTTTCACGTACCTCTCGATGTTAGATTATCACTTGAGAATTCTTGGATGCTAACGCGAAGAATTAGATTTTGATCTTGTTCGATAGTGAAACGATGCAGAGAAGTTAATGTCAATGATATCAGAGTAGTTTGCAATTGAATAACTATAAAGAAAAAATATATCATCCGAGCTGAAAAATATCCATATATTCTCTTTCACTTACTTTCGCAAGATTGACCAGAGAGTATAATTAAAGTATTGATATAATTCGTTGTTAATCGCGAGATATATTGCTCAAATATACATTCGCTAATGTTCGTGGTCTGTTCTTTACAAGAAAAGATCTGCTCGAATGGGTGCTGTTGCTTGTCATCTACTGGACACAAACATCGTAGACCGAGTCTAATCTAAACA